CTCCTGCTGCCTTCAGGCCAACACCTTCTCACCTCGAAGGGCCTGGTTGATCACCCGGCGATGCGCACGCTGGGCAATTGCCACCGAGTTGATAAACCCCATCGGCAGTACTTGTGTCGCCAGATGCCAGCCACCCCCCGTGTAACCCTCTGGGAGGGCCTCAGCTGGCACCTCCCGCGCGAAGCCCATGTACTTCCACCATGAAGAGGGGGTACGGAACAAGTAGAAAAAGCACCGTATATCTTCAGATGAGGTTATGAGCAGTTGGCTATCTTCCAGGATCACGGAGGACATGCCCACCACACTGGGCAGCGTGGAGGTATCTCCAACCAAGCTTCTACAACAACCATTGGTAGGGACTAGGTTCATGATGAGCCTGCACACCTCAAAGGAGTTGCCTTGACAATCCACCGCAGTTTCGTTCTTGCTTACCGCAAATAGCCCATTGAATAAAGGCCGCCCGTCTATATGATGTAAGCTAGACACATGCATCAGCCGACAAACACCCCGCTTCAACAGCCCCACGCAGACCTCTGCCCAGTGGCGCTGCTCCACCATGATCGCAGGCGTTCGTCCCAGGCGCTGATCCTGGGCAGGCAACATGAAGCTCTCAAAATCCCTAACATACTGCAACGTTCCCTCACCACAGAAATCCTCCAGCTCTAAAGACCCTACTGCCTCCGGCATGGCCGCCTCCACCATTTTCCATTGAAATGATCGGGCCACCTGAACCTCCTCTCCGGTATAGTCCACTGCTTTCGACTGAAACAGATGATGGAAGTCTAGTTGGGGCATAGCCTGGTCTAACAAGGAAAAGTTCGACACCACACCATGCGTACGTTCGGTCAGCTTTCTTCGAATGTTGTCCTCCTTAGTCCTGAGTTTGGTCCTAGTCCCATAAAGTAAATTCAATGCACGAATCAATGCATCTGTACTGGGTATGAATTTCCCCTGAAGTCCCAACGCACTAGCAAGCGGCAAGGGGAACACGTCCCCCTTGGGCTGGCTGCAACGCTCTAATCTAGTCTCAACCACTGCCAACAGAGCCTTCTGTCCTCTATCAAACAACGGCTCCTCCTCTGTGCCCTCCTTGTCTGACTTTGCCTTCTCTGGCTTCTTTTCTTTATCCTTCGCCTTCTTCCTTTTCTTCTTACTTTTCTTGTCTTTGTCTGCCTCTTCACTGGGAGAGTCCTTCTCCCCTTCCACTGCCTTCTTCCTGGCCGCATAGTGCTCCCTCAACTTCGCCATCTCGTCACGCTCGTCCGGCGGGGCACGCACATCTTCAAAAAGCGTGTGCCAGGGCAGCTTCTTGTCTCCCACCTCCCAAAAGCCAGCTGCGTGCAACACATCAGGCCCTGTTGCAGAGTGGCTGCAATCCTTTGGGCAGATGTGCAGCTGCATAGTTCTCCGCGATGGGTCACTCAGGGCCTCCACCAGCCTCTCTGTCTGGGTTCCGGTCACCTTGAACTCCAGGTAGTCAGTATCACGGCCCAAACCTGTGATGTAACCAGCTACCTTCACGAGTCCATCATAGTAATACCCATAGGCCAGTTCAACCAGTCCCAAACATCGCAACTGCGCCGCCGTCAGCTCCAGGAGGTAGGTGAATCTATCGGTCTTCAACTCCTGCTCTGGCTTGCTAGCCGGCCTTTTCCGCAAAGGCTCAACTCTTGCCGCTGGCCGCCGACGAACGGACATCACCACCACCTGTTGTTATACTTTTCTTGCTTCGCTCTTCGGGTGATGCCCTTATTCTTGCCAGTGTACCAGCGGGGGTGTGAACTCCAAGGAATCGGACCGATCCACCCGCGCCCTCGACCCCTGGCAAGGGGGGCTGGACTGGCGTCTCGGGCTGGCGCAGGCGGAGGATCAGGCGGTGGTCCTGGCGGTGTGTGGGGGCTGCGGGCACGCGGCGGTGTAGGCAGTTTTTTCAAGTCTTTTCTGGTTTTCTGCTCTAACTCGCGAGCCCGAAACAGAATCCCCAGGACTCGAGGATCTTCGCCGTCTCTTCTTGTCCCTCTTTTCCTTCTCCCTCCTTCTCTTTTCCTTCTTTCTCCTCCTCCTTGATGAACTGCTCGAAGACGACCTGGACTTCTTTTCTTTCTTTTTCTCTTTGGGCTTGGGAGTTTCCTTCAACTCCCCTGGGGGCTGTTCAACCGCGGCTTCCGGGAGAGCCTCAACCTCCCGCTTGGGTTCTGCCTTCCGCTTGGGGTAGAGGGAAAGGCTGGGAGACCGTCCGCGATGTGCACTGCTGGGCTGATGGCTGGGTCGAGGTACGATGCGACTTTGGGAGGTAACCCTGCTGACTTCCCTCCCCTCAACTGGCAATGTACCTTCAGACTTTAGCAGGGGCTGGACTGGTGGTGTTTTGGGCTGAACTGGTTGGGCTGATTTCTCTTGGGCTGGAACTGGGCGGCAATCCTTAGTCTCCTCTCTTCTTTTCAAACGGCTGCGATCTCGGGCTCCTCGAGCACGGTGATCTCCAGTGGTGACTGAGGCCTCTAGCTCCTTGACCTTAGCCACCCACTCCTCCAGAAGCGAGAAGCACTCCTGGAGGTATATCACCGCTTGTTCGTCTCGCTTGGGTGCCAGTACTCCGCGTAGCGACACTTGCAACTGCCAGAGTTTCCGGCACGGCTCGCAAGTGCTCAATCCACTCTGCCGAACCACGAAGTGAAGGCACCTGTCACAAACTGGGAGAGACCCAGCTCGGTTCTCTCCTATCGACCTCCTTTAAGAGCCCGATGCTGCGGTGAAAACGGATTGGTTCTGTGCTTAGCTATGAGGACATTTATCCATATCAATATATATATATATATACAGTATATATATATATTGAATGATTGGTTTCGGTGAACAAAAATGAGCGACGAACAGGCACCTTGAAAGGGGACTGCAGACAAAGCGACTCACCATTGGTTTACCATTCTCTGCACCGCTGTCGGTGTCTAGAAAACAGCACAGGTGACACGATCATGGCCCAACAATCATGAGGCCATGAGGGTTGTTCTTTGGCATCTTGAGAGCTTTGAAACTTTCGCGGCTACATTATACTTGTCTGGCCAGTCCTGTGAAAGCCCATGCTGAGGTCTCCTGTAGTGTTCTACGTCCTGCAGACGTGAGGGCCTCCTCTCCAAGGTAGGCAGGAGGCCAATGCTCAAAGAGCAACGAATTTCCACCACTTCCCCGTGCTGTGGGATACGGGAGACGCCACAAGCGCGGTTCAAAGAGTGTGGCGGTGGCAACACTTGAAACAGTTTCTCACACATTTGCTGAGCAACAAATGTTCTTTTCATGTCTTTTCTGTACATGTTCAAAAGGCAAATGCCGTGAATGATGAATCTGCAAAGCTGCTCAGGTTCTATAAATGACAATCAGACTCCGTGAAACAGGAAAGGTCCATCCGTGGGTTCGTCAAATTGTTCGATCTGGCATCCTCAGTCGATCCGAACTGGTCGTAACTTATATATCTGGTCAGCTCTTCGAACCCTTTGCTACCTCTCGATTTTGTGGCCTCTGCTGCCTACACAGTACGTCAGGCACGATGATTCGGATATCCGTCACCTCTGTGGCATTCTCTTGCTTAGTTTCTCTAGTAGGCCACATCATGACTGTATAGTTTCCTACGTTAATTCCAGCTTGGCTTGCTTAGCCTCCTCAATCTTTCGGGAAAAGAGCCCAGATCTTGAAAACTGGTCCGTCTGTATGGAAGAGCTTTCAAGCAATGTCGCTCACACATACCGCAAAGCGGATTTTGAGAAAACCTGGGCTCCATTGGGCTCAACTTGGCGCGGACATCGGCAAAGAGAGAAACATCCTTGCACGCTCTACGCCACCTTCTTTGTATGAGCCATTTCGATGTTTGAAAGTTCTGAAGTCTCCCTAAACGGAATTGGAATCCAGCCATGCAGTGGACAGTGAATCTTGCACTGATGTCGACTCTCAATATACCGTTCCATCAATTAATTAGGGTGTGGTCATGGCACCTTCACTAGTCTCTGTGATGATCTCTCCAACATCCACCATATGGATGGCACAATTCAATATGGCACAATCACTTCCTAGAAATTGTACTCTTGGAAGGAGGCACTCTCTGTCCTCACCTCAGTCATCTGTCTGAGTTCTGATATTGTCCACTGCAAGGCAACATGACTAGCTGTTGAGACAATCTGAGAGATGGCAAGGTGACTTCATGGCCAGCGAGCGGACAACATTATATAGTCGATGGGTCTTGAACCCGGCTTCAACTAGCTGCATGTAAGTGCGTCTTGCAGTATGTAGGACATGCCTTTAGAAGTTTTTGGAGCTCCTTCTTCTGGATGTTGGGAATAGCCCCGTGGAGCATGAAGCCTTTGAAGGAACAAAGGCCAGGGAGGTCAGATCCCCTCACCCCTGTTCACAACATGATGTTGATGTTGAATCAACGGACCAACCAGTGCTTGGTGGGGCACGTGAAAATATTGTTCTTCTTTCAAACCCTAAAGGAAACATTGCGGACACCAGAAAGTTAAAGACAGTTGTTTTGTTGTTTACAAAAGCTGTGGCCTGCGGGTGGAAGCTGTGGAATGCCAAGCCTGTTGTTACAAGTTACAAGTTTGATCTAGAGAGGCGCTTCACTTATCATCCAATCTCTGGTCATCCGCTTGAGTTTGGCCAAGCACCAAGCAACTCGTCACACTCAAGCCTTTTTTGGATATTCTGGCTAGCAGCAGATTGTGATAAGTTGTTGTTCAAGTCTTCTCAAGAATCTAGGTGCTTGCAAGAGGTTCATTTAGTTGCAGGGGCTATTGCACAACCACAAGCCGTTGGTGTACGTCCGCACATGTTGGGATTCCGGCAAGCCCCACTACCACTGGTGTTGCAACATAGGGGGGCGTTTAGAGCACCGGATTGACTAACATGGAACCAAGAACAGCTGGCAAGATCGATAGGATGCTAGTTGCGGAAGGCTCAAGGGGATGGTATAGTACAATCACAATCTTTGTGAAGTAACACGTATTTCATCTTATTTCTGTATCCAAAAAAGGTAGTCGTTCACAAGGGGAAAAAACTAAGGCCATTCAGCATCTGGGAACTGCAGCCTTGCTGTTTGCGTCAGGCACGGAGAAACAACAAAAATTTTGGCAGGGACATCGCATGGAAGAAAATTGTGCATACAAAAGTTCGGCAATATCTTTTGGTGTCCTTTGATGACTTTGGACTTTGCGGTCCAACCAATCCTTCACACGTCGTTCCTCCCACATGGCCACATGGATCCTGGGAAAACCTTGACAAAACCGATCTGCCAGCGCCAGCATTCCAGCTATTTTGACTACCGTGCCTAGGAAATGGCTCAACACCCACCTGGCCTGCTGGATGCCCAAACCTAGCTATGTCATACAGAACCGGCAACTGGAAAGTTGAACAACCAGTTGTTCCGACATCGTTCGATAGAGACATACAGCACAAAGAAAGCTGGGGCGGCGGGGGGCTCTTTGGCATGTCGAAGGGCCCGTGACCGGGGAAACTGACTGAAGGCATAATATGGAGGCATATAGCTACAACGGGTTGTTGTATAACAGCCAGATGTACTAGAAACAACAGCTCGACTATTCCCAACAAAACCATGGGAGCATGGCACCTAGCCGCTGCGGTCATCCCGCTCGTCTACCCATGTCTTTCTTCGACCCGACCGTGCCTGGGACCCTTTCAATCCTCACGTTCATTCAGGCTGGGCTCCGAGAGGGATCGCTGTAGCATCCTCAGTTGATGTGGCTTGCCCCCTTGGAACCGCACACTTGCAGGAACTAAGATGGTGGCCCACAAACCCGAATGCACACACGCACTCAAAAACAAACGGCCAAACCTGAGAATCGAGGGGACGAAAGCCAATCGTCGCAGACATTTTCGACTGATGCAGGTCTATAAATAGCTGCCCAACAGCAATAGGACCGCAGGACATGGCAGATATTGGCAGATGCATCTTCGCCGAGTATTTGATAGTATTTGCATTCAATCTTGCAAGCCGCTTGAGATGCATTTTGGCAATCGGTGGGGGAAATTGGACATGACAAACTCATACAAAACTCGTAAAGGCTACAACGCTGGAGTTTTGCTGGAGTTTTGCCTGCCGCTGGACATGAATTGTCGATGCAGGTGCGGAAAAACACAGTGGATCTAGATGCGAAGAGCCAGAGTTGTTTGTTTTTTTGTTGGTGCCCTTCCGCACTTTTTTTGAGAGCAGTCTAGCGCAAAAAGGACATCTCTGAAAAGTGGGTTCTAGCAACAAGTTTCCTGAGAAAAGTAAGTCAGCGCATGTCACCGCTCAGGTTCCGTGTCGGGGCCAAGAAATGTTACGTCCGAAGAGCGCATTGAAATGAGAAGAAACTTATCACTAGAGGCCGTTTGCGGGGGGTGCCCTAGATTTTGCCCCGAAACACGAAACAAAGCGCGAGGGCACCCTGAAGGTCTGTTCAGAGAATCTGCTAGTGGTTGCTAGTGCCTCTTTTTGGCTCCGAGACGGCCCTGCAAACACAACGCAAAAGGGCACCAACCCGAAATGCGCCTAAAACACGTTTCTTCGACTCTCTGCATCTGGATCTCTGTGCATGGTTTGACTTCACGCATCCGCAAATCATACCGACAAAGGGTTTTCAACAAATTCCCAAGAAACGCCTTGACGACTTTGATGCAAAATATGCCGTCGTGCCCGGTGATTAGTATCAAACGCTACATCACTCGCATCACAAGGGCCCTCAACATGCGACTTTACTACTTGCTATGAATTTTCGTTCCCCCAACAAATTCCAGGTTCATCCTTCCAAAACCTGTCTTCTTAACCTACCCCCCCACACACACCTCTTCATACACACGTCGCTCGCTGCGCAGAACCTCAGCCTAGCCTATCCGCTGGCTTTCGAAACACATTGTTTGACACTCTCGTGGGCCACACTTGTGGCACACTCATCTAGGAGACACTCTGGTGGGCGCTTCATACGAGACTTCCTCCAAAAGTCGAGCGTCAACTCTCCAAAGCAAGCACTTCGCACGAGACTTCCTCCCAAAGTGAAGCGATGTGAACTGCATCACAGCGAGTACTAAAATAGACTAAAATAATAAGCAGCTCTCAATCTCAACGAAAGTTCAACTTTGACACCTCCAACACGCACTAAGCACTGCTCCTGCTACGAAACGGTGCTCCATCACATCTTCGTGTCTGCAATGAATCAGCAAATTTTGCACCACACCACACGATTAGACTCACTTCAATACTTTCTGGGCACACTCACGTCCGTTTACCTGGGACTTGTCACACAAACGCAGCCTTGAGACAACAGCCTGCCAATGGCACAGCGACATCCAACACCTCCAAAAGACCCTGCGAACGCCAATCCCAATGGCACGGAAGCAGCAAAATCATCCTCCACACTTCCACATGTTACGTTTCTATGCTATGTACACGAATCTGACACTTCAGCATTCCATCCAAAACCTCCTCCAAAAGCTTCCCCCCAATGGCACGGCCTTATCCATTACATTCAGTCGCTTGCGAACGGTTGCGGACATGCAAGCAAGGTCACGCAAACAACGCTCTACCCTCAGACTCCCAAAGTTAAAGGAGAACCCTTCGCTTAGCATTCGGGGAAAAGAACATGCTATCTCAAAATAATATGAAATAATGTCATTCAATTGTTAGATGAGCCATGCTGAAAACCTTGATAGATTCCTGTCGTAACGTAAGAACTGCCTTACGCGAAAACTTACGCAGCGCTTACGCGACCGCAGTTTCAGCTTACGCGGGGGTGTTGCTTACGCCGCTGCTTACGCCACCTTACGCCATTGCAGGCTTTGCTTACGCAGCATCGATATGACATAACCTGGAAATGTCTGGCTTACGCCAAAGCTTACGCAGAGCTTACGCGACCGCAGTTTTAGCTTACGCGGGGGGGAGGTTTTCAGCGTGGCTCAGATGTAAAAGCACACAACATAAAATATTGTTGGTGTGAAGCTTGAAACTTGATGGTGGACAACCATCTCCGGGGCAAATAACATCAAATAAGTCGTTTTTGCAAGAAAACGTGCAAAGTCCTGTAAGTACGACAAAGGCTTTCGTCATCCTCTCTATTTGGGAGTTGAGGTGTGCATTTACCATGACGTCACTAAAGAATGCCCCGCTTCTTGTTGCATCGCTCCACACTCCCAGAAGTGTCCCGCGCCTCTTGGCTGTACCAGCAACTCCAAAACTGATGAACCTCAGCACTGGATGCATATTTGCAGCAAAGAAGCGGGAGAAAAAGTAAAGGCGGCTTGACAATAAACAGGTACTGGTAAGTCTAGTCCACACTGTTTTGGGCATCAATCAAAATGAAGCTTGTCGTGCAAAGCATTCAGGCCAGTGAGTGAACACAAGCCAGCACTTTCTGAGTCGATGGGCGTGTTGCGCACACTCATCTCATAGTGCACGCCCTGCAAGCAGTCTGAAAGCAATGGCGGTGTGCTTTTCATCACAAATCATAATCAATCATATCAACCTTCCTCTGACTATCTTTCTGGTCATGGTAGTCACTCTGGCACCTTGTGCATGAGGATGTCATCGGGGCTGCCGAGGGCCTCACCCGACACCCGTGTCCAGCACGGTTCCCAGCGTCACATGGGGCGAACGCAACTCCATGGGGCGAATGTCACAAACGAACAAACTGACAAAGATGATACACGACAAACCGAGCCATCGCATGTCAGTCTTTACTATGAATCCGACTTGACTTGCTGGCAATCAAGGTCTGACAGTGGCATACCTCACTTCATACTCCAAACATGATCACAAAGTAGTCTTCCAAAATCTCCTCAACTCCCAATCTAAATCCAAGCTGCTCGCAAATGGTTACTTTTTCGTCCCAATCGGTCGTTGTCCGTCGGTCGTCCCCGGGGCCTCGGTCACTGCCCAGGCCTCAAAGACGGAGTCGGCCTCGTCATCCTGGAGTTCGCCAGGAGTGGTCGGATGGTCAAAAAAAGGGCTCAAACTTAGATGGGGTCCAACAAAATTAAGTGCAAAGTATATAGATTTATAATTATATGTTTTTAGAAATACTCTCACGGGAACCAATGGGAATAGGTCGAATAGGTGCTCTGTGTGCCTCATGCAAGCACCATCTCAGACAACAGGATATAACGACAAGATAAGATTAAGTTGGACCCGATTTGATGCTACCACACTTTAGCGCCCATCTCTTGCCCCTCGCACAGAATGGCATTTCTTTACATCCCGAGCCATGGCTCGCATCGGCTCGCCTCCCAGTTCAATCATGCTGAAAATAATATTCAACCTATGTCACTTCCTGGTGTCATCTTTCGAGGATCAGCTTGCACTTTGGCACCAGAAGAGCTCGAAAGGTCAATATGGCAGTGACCAGTGTGGTGAGGCCGCAGGAGATACCAACGGTCAGCCACATGTTGCACAGAGACAAGGTCCCAAAGAATTGCATGATTCCAATGGCTGTAGAGGATGTCCACCAAAATAGTATGCTCAGCCACAAGACTGTGCTTCTCTCTTGTGCTCCGTATAAGGCACCCTCCAGGGTGAGCAGCACAGGGTATAACGAGAGGAAAGGCACCAAAGCCAGACTTGTTCTGGCCATGTCCCGTAGCACGTCTGGATCACTGGAAAGGATCCAACCTAGTTTGTGACAGAAGATCACCACTGACACTGAGGCAGTCACAGAAAGAATCAGTGCGTTGCACAAGAGCTTCCGCAAGGTCTGGAAGGACTTCCGGCTTGAGGGTCCAGGTTCTTGCTCCACGCAAACTGCAGTCAGAATTGGTGGAAGAAAGGCTTGTGCTGCCCAGCTGAACGGATTGCCAATAGCAACTGCTGATAGAAGAAAAAGTGTTTGAAAAAGCTGGTGAGTAGCAGCTGAAGTTGTTCCAAACGAACATGCAGCCGTGGTCATATTCGCTAAGACCAACATTTTCAAAAAGACTGCCAGCAGCACAGGACCAGCGAACTGCAGAAATCTCGAAATTGATCTAAAATTCCGTGGCCAGATAAATGGTTGTGGCCAGCGCTGCGATTTCCACAAAGATCGTATGAAATAGCCGTATCCACAAGCGGCTGCAAGTACTGATGCTGCAGCGACCCCCGCCAAGCCATACTTTGGGCACAAGAGAGCATCGCCTAGCACGTTCACAAGCAAGCCAACCAACGTCACGATCAACGGTGTGGCACCATCTTTTGCTGCTAAACAGAAGGAGGTGGCCACAGAGGTGCCACGCTCGATGGCTGCACCCAAGGCTCGAATCTGTAGGTAGGCCACTGAGAGTGGCAACATTGCATTGGTGGCACCCATGAAGCGTGTCAAGGGCCCTGCGAAGGTGACCAAGGAACCCGTCAAAATCAAGCCAGAGCTGGTGGCCAAGAAGATCGCATGGGACCGGATCTTCCGAAGCTGTCGAGGACTCTTGGTCATGCCCAGCAAGCTCAAGGTGGCTGTGTTCAGGAAGGTCAGGACCAAAGAGGCTGAATCAAAAACCGAGGCCGCTGGACCCATGGCAGCGAGCTGAAGAGAGCTTGACTGACCTAAGAAGGCCTTGTCCACGGTGGTCATCGAACTATTGGCCACAACCAAGCAAAAGGATGGCACCACAAACTTCGCAATTTCAGCGGTTGATGGAACTGCGATTTCGTAGACCTCCTTGCCACCACGTGGCTCAACTTGTGACTCCAATGGGTCAGAAATCGTCTCCACGATTCGTGCTGGAGAAGAGGTGGCCACACTGGCTGCTACTTGGGACCTGGAACCTTGGCCTCTATTCCTCGCCTCTGCGCGCATAGTTCGCAACATCCGGCTCTGCGCGTAGGGATCATAGTACTGCCTCGTGGACTCCAGTTTCAGTACAGCCCAGATCATAATGAAAACGACAGGTACCCAATGTCGTGGCATTAGCTCAAGACCTCGCAAAAAGAACTTCCCCATCACCTCGGCTTGACTCACCAAGACATGCCCTGAAGCGATGGCTGTGGCTGGGATTAAAGCTCCCAGCATGGCTGAGCGCAGGAAGGGCTGCAGCTCAAAAAATTCAGACATCGGACGTCGTGACTTCTTCGGCTGAAGCCTGTATGCACGAAGCTCATTCCCTGGTGCAGATGCCAAGCAGGCCACTGCAATGGAGACAAAATACCTCAAGGCCTCACCACCCACTGATAGCTTGTAAGGAGTTGCCAACTTGATCATCATCCAATGTCGTGTAACCCCATAGATGAGGTCTCGAAGCAATGTGGGAAAGTATGCTTGGTAGAGCTTTTTGAATTTCACTTTGAGCTGCAAGCTCTTGATGTACCGGTAATTTGCCAGGGGCAAGACTGCCGACGTATAGATCACAGCCGCTAAAGTCCCCTGCAATGGATAGGGTATGAATGACCATGAAGTTGAGAAGTCATTCACAGCTTCAAAAAATGGAAACTTCAAAAGATTGGTTGCCAGCACAGTCCGGAAGAAGCGAAGGATGTCGATGAGTCGTACCTCCCGGATAGCATCACTCAAGCGCATGCGCTTCACAGCCACGCGGTTCAACACTGGCTCGGTAAAAGCCTGCAATAGAGCCGCCACCACAGCTGCCAAAGCTCCAACACACGCTTGACGCCCCACATGGGCCACAAGGACAGGATCAATCCTCAAGGCCGAGCGACGGATGCGCCAGCTGCGAGCGCTGCGAGCGCTGCGCCGAAGAAGGTCAGGACTCCAGCGCCCGTGACTAATGGGCAGCCGCTGGGGCAGGGTCACCTGTGTCAGCTGGCGATGAGCGCCTCCGACATAATGTCCCGGTGGGCACAAGCTCATCAGATTAGACTTTGTGTCAAGGATTGAATCGGTTCAAAGTTTGTTGGAAAAAAAAACGGTTCTTTGTGGCCTGCATGTCTCCGAAGCTGTATGCCAAACCCATGACTCATGAGAATAGTGTGTACCCCAGATATCTGGAGATCATTGTAGGAAAAGGAAATGTTCCCGCAAGAAACCAAAGATTGTCACTTTACAATTATCACTCTGGTCTGGCCATCCTCGATTCTGGTTGCTCGTGAATCAACCATCACCACACCTGTCTACATCAATGCATTCCTAAACATCAAACAAAGATTCCATTGCTGTTCATCGGATGTTCAATTGTCCTATTAACCTTTGCCAACAAGCTTGGTGTTTGAGACCAAAAATCCTGCAGCAAATGGTCAGTGACCCACAGTGTCAAAGCGGGAGAATGGAACCAGTTTGTTATTGAGTCATTGAGTCATTTACCGAGCATTTCACAACAGCCATGCTTTGAGCCATGCAAAATGCAAAAAAGGAAAAATTTGTATGGCTTGCGATCCATCCTTATCCGTGGTGGCAGTCTCAGAGAAAGCCGTGGATGGGAGCGAGTAGAAACTTGCACCTGAGCAGGGCGTCAGGAAGGTGAGACAACGAAAATGAGTTTGCCATGTGTCCAAAGCATGATGTCCGACCCATATGATAGATGATAGAAGTCAAAATCCCCAAGTTTTCTTATGTCCATGGGTTTCCAATGGGCCTTTGAGCGTCCCAGTTCTTCAAACTCCATGTCATGTCGATTTCCTCTGCAGTTTAATAGTGGCTGAAACGAAAAAGGGTCTCTGCATGTCGCTGCGCTCACAAAGCCATAACAAAAGAATGTAATCGGCCCCGGCGATGGAGACCCTAATCAATCATTATATAATGATATATAATGTATACACACATACTTTCCTTGAAAAATGTTTTTCATATTCCTTGAATTCCAAAAGAGATTTGGTGCTGTGCCAGGATACGCTTGACACAGTCTGATGTGGTCTTCTTGTCAAGAGTCCTGCACTGTCTCCCAACGTCGTGCAGCGCAAATGCAAAAATGGTTTCGACTCGACGGTGTGGGCCAAGGAAGCAAATGTTACATGTTACAATCCGACCAACGGTCCAACTGCCAAGCCACGACGGACTCCGCTTTGCTTCTTTGGTTCCCAGTCCATGTCACAATGAACGATTACTCCAAAGGCTTTTGACCCACCTCGCAGCAAGAAGGACCACGCTGGGATCAAGACAACCACCACCTGGCCAGATGGGGACAGATACGGTACAGTCTACAAAGCAAAAGCAAGTGCCTGATGTGGGCGACAGGATCCAAACATATTGCCGCTAAAACAAATCGAAGAACTCACGCCTTTGACAAACGTTCCATTCCAGTTTGCTTGGCAGTGTTGACCTCTCGTTGAATATGGTCAATTTCTGCTGCTACGTACAGTTATATAATTGTGCAAAGCATTGTAGGCACACAGGGTAGAACTTTTGTGGATATGTACAAAGCTCTTTTCGCTTGCTGTCATAGTTGTTATTGCTTCGCTTTGGTCGACTTTGTTGAAAGCTGGACCCTGGTTGGCAGGCGGAGCAGCGCCTCCCAAAAGCTGGCTGGGCTGGCTGGCAAGCGGGCTGCTCGCTGGCTGACAGTGGCGAAGGGTCTGGCTGGCTAGCTGCCTGGCTGGCTTGCCTGCTTGCTTCAGCATTCTTTGCTTCATTCATTCCTTCCTTCCTTCCTTCCTTCCTTGCAACTGGCTTTCTTGCAACTGGCTTTCTTGCGTGCTCGTTTGCTGATGGTCTAACGGGAAATTCAGACAGAAAATAAGGCAAAGCACAACTCAAAGGCAAAGCACAACTCCAAGCAAAAGGTATGCTACAAGAACAAAACAATGCAAAAACATATTTAAACAAAAAACAAATTATTTAAATTTAAACAAACACAAGCAAAAAACGTACAACAAGATAACCAAACATCTGAACAACAACACAACCACGAAATGCAAAACAATGAAAAGGCAATCAGACATCTAGAAAAATGCACCGGAAAAAAACAAACAAACAAACAAACAAACAAGAAAAACCAAATAAACAACAAAAGCAAAGCAAAGCAACGCAAGAGTCTCTGAAAGATAAAAACATGTTTAAACATTTAACAACTAGTATCGTGGCATTTAACCTCATCGACGAAAGACCTTTGGTAGTGGCCTGGCTCCCCTTGTACTCTGGTGTTAAGTGGGCCGCACCCGATGGCTTTGCTGCAAAAGAGTGCGCCTCCTTCAGTTGTTGTACAGGTCATGCCAAGGCCCAGTGGGTCCCAGCTCAACTCGCAAAGAGCAGAATCACCTGCAACGACTTGCATCGCCGAACCGTTTGCAGTGACCCTTCACCAGCCGTGGAATTGGTGGACGGAGAGTACAAACCCAGCCAATGTCATTATCTGGATATATACTCAACAGATTCAGCAAGAATGGAACCTTCTGAGTCGTCATGCAGGAACCTTTAGTGCCGGCAGGATTTGATCTATGCTGTGGGGAGGTTGTCAACAGACCCACACTTTTGCTTTGGAACATGTGACAAACAGCGTCAAACAGCCAATGTCGAGTGTGTTACCTTAAATTGCTTTTTCACCCATCTGGCCTTCTGATTTGCTGATAGCAATCGGGTCCCACTGAAGAACACCTTGCTTCGCAGCTTTGAGCATGAAATCAGGAAGCAAAGAAATGGGCTTTACACACAATAGAAATCATGCCTCTTGAATCATGCCATGTCTTGGCATTAGATGACATATAGTACGCCAATTTATTATAGAAGATATTAAAACATATTTTCAAATAGAAGTCTGCATATTCCTCCCGTGGCAGGGTTCCGGGACAAATAGAAGAAAGGCGTCAAGATAACAGGTTGATAAACGTGCTCACCAACAGGTCTTCAAATAGAAGAAATAATATTTTTGGCACAAAATGCACATGAGCCGCCCGCTCTCTTTCCCTTGCGCTCTCACTCTTTCTCGCTCTCTCCCTCCCTCCCTCCCTCCCTCCCTCCCTCCCTGGAGAAGAGAAAGTTCTGCAAGGAAGCTCCCGGTGAACCAGCTCACAGCGCCGGGCCGAGCGATGGACCCGTTAAGGGGAATAGACACAGAGAGCGCAGCCCTCCAAAAAGGTTAAAATAATGCGTTAAAATTGTCGCGTTTTTTTTGAGCTCAGAGACGTCACCGGGTCGCATCCCGACCCGACAGAGACCCGACAGAGACTTGTTTGAAGAAAAAATTGTAAAAATTGAGTACAATTTTTAGAAAATTGAGGAGAAAAAGTGTAGAAAAAGACAAGTGGCCTGGAAGAGCCTTTTTTGAGCTTGAAAAGGTGAACCCAGGCCACTTGCTAAAGAACCCCAAAAGTGTAGAAAAAGTAGCTAGTTATTTTTAAAGTGTAGAAAAAAAGTGTAAAAAGTCGCCAGTTCCTGTCTCCTTTCTCCTTTCGGCCTGGAAGACCAGGGCCTTCCCTTCCCTTTCCACCTTTCCTTCCTTCTCTTTACCTTTACCTTCCTTTCCTTTACCTCCTTCC